TCTCTCTCTCTCTCTCTCTCTCTCTCTCTCTCTCTCTCTCTCTCTCTCTCTCTCTCTCTCTCTCTCTCTCTCTCTCTCTCTCTCTCTCTCATGGAGACACGCGAGCCCTGATATCTTCAGTTTCTTCTTCTAACTACATTTGAATTTGGTTTTACTAATTGTGGGAATCATATTTTAGAGTTATTCCTTCATTTTTGTTATTATATCTTCTCTAACAAACCCTTTTAAACTAAAACAAGGAAAACTTGGTCCAAGTTGATTGTTCTTGCTCTTGTAGCGAAGCAACTGTGGAGGATTCTCTACTCTCCAAAGACTATCGAGCTCATTATTGTCACAATTCCAAAGACGAGATTAAACCCACTGATATGCCCATTTGCGTATATACTCGGAAGAGAAGAGGAAAGAAGGGAGAGCAGAAGATAAATGATGAGCTGGAAGAGAAGGACGATTTGGAAGCTTAAGATTGTTACTTGAATTGTGTATGGGCTCAGTATATATAAGAGGACCCAGAGTTAGTGGAGAGTCAGTTAGTTGGTGGCTTAGGCCTACTATTGTAACAAACTTGTATTGGCTTGATTCTCGATTACAAAGAGATCAAGAGAGGGTGGTTGGGCGGTAACTGAATAAAATACATCTATTCTCTATCAAATTGGTGCGGCTTTGAGCGATCTGGAGCGTAATTTTCGCGACGAGATGAAGAAGACGTTACAGAGTCAGAGCGAGGAGGATTCGGTGACTCTGGAGTCGCTGGCGAAGTCGTTACGGGATCACACGGCGGCGCAGTATGAGACAAATAATGAGTTTCGAGCTTCGATTCGCGCATCGGAGATGAAGACGATGTCGAAGATCGAAGAGATGGAGAAGAAATCAATCGATCGATACGATGAGTTACAAGCGAAGAGGGATTCCAATTTCGAGAGGTTGTGTGAATTGATTGCGAAGAAGGATTCGAAGAGCACAGAAGTGACGGAGACAAGTCCGCAACTGTATCGTCATCCTAACTATCAGGTAAACAATCTGACCTCGGAACCTGGCCGTATTTTTAGGGTGGATGAAGGGATGGAGCGTAATAATGGTGTTGATAGTAGAGACAATTTGTTGAAACGTGTGGTGTTGCCGGCGTTTAATGGAGATGATGTTTACAGTTGGTTTGCGTTGGCGGAGAGGTATTTTTGGATTGGAGGTTATGATGATAGAAGGAAGTTGGAGATTGTTTCGGTGAGTCTTGCAGGGGATGTGTTGAGTTGGTTTAACAGTGAACTTCAGAGAGCAAATTTTGCGAGCTGGCAAGATTTCAAAGATAGAGTTGTGGCAAGATTCAGTCGAGAAAGGTTGCGAGATCCGAGTCAATTGTTTTTTGCAGTAAAACAAACTAGGAAAATAGCTCAGTACATACACAAGTTTGAAGATCTTTGATCTTAAGCTGCTGGCTTAACTGACATGCAAGAGGGTATATTCATGAATGGGCTCACACCGGAGATGAGAGAGGTAGTCAACATGACTAAACCAGATGATTGCTAATGCGTATCAGTTGGAGGATAGTTCCTTATATAAAATGGTGTGTCGCGAAAGAGCCTCGGAATCTAAACAGAACTAGAGACAACCTTATGTCAAACCAGCTTAGACAGTGACTTCTGATTAGAGTAGTGGAACCAAGTTGCACAGACCTCAATTGAAGCTAACAGAGAGTCAAATTGCAGAGAAGAAGCGATTGGGATTATGTTTTACTTGCGATGAGAAGTGGTCCAAGCAGCATTGGTGTCCAAATCGCGCGTTACAAGTTTTGACAGTAGTAAATGGGATTGAGATGGAGATTTTGGATCCTTCTTGTATTGAGATAGAGGAGGAATCTGAAATTTCAGAATCTACGATGGTGGCCTTATCTTTGAACTCGGTTTTGGGTAACTCTTCACCAACAACAACGAAAGTTCGAGGAGCAATTAACAAGACAAAGATAGTTGTCATGGTAGACAGTGGGGCCACCCACAATTTCATCTCTCCAGCAACGATGGCTTAGTGCAAGCTCAATATGTCAAAAGACCAGAATTGGGAGGTACTGTTGGGAATGGGAACATCGGTACACAGTTCAGAAGTGTGTAAAAATGTGCAGATAATGTTACCATCGATGTCCTTTCAAGCAGACTTTGTGATCTTGGACCTTGGCAACGTTGATGTGATTTTGGGAGTGCAATGGTTGCGTACCTTAGGCGTGTGTACGGTGGATTGGGAGAAAAATGAGTGGTCCTTTTATCATAGTGGAAGACATGTGACATTAACGGGGGATCCAACTTTACATGCTCCTAATATGTCACTCAAGACTCTTTTAACAGACGTCAACATTCACAAGGGAGGGTGTGCTATTGAAATGCGGAGTGTAGAAAATATTTCAATGGTAGAGGAGATTATCCCTTCTGAGATACATAACATATTGTCTGAGTTTGACTCTGTGTTTCAGAAGCCTACGGGGTTGCCGCCGGTGAGGGGGAATGAGCATGCAATTGTTTTGAAGGATGATGCTAAACCGATAAGCGTGAGACCATATAGATATCCGCATCGCATAAGGAGGTGATGGAAAAACTGGTGCAGGAGATGTTGGCTGAGGGATTGATTCGTCCAAGTCATAGTCCCTTCTCGAGCCCTGTGTTACTAGTTAAGAAGAAAGTTAATACACACTGTTTTTGTGTGGATTATAGAGCATTGAACAGAGCTACAGTGCAGGACAAGTATCCAATCCCAATTATAGATCAACTGTTGGATAAACTTAACGGAGACACAATTTTTTCGAAATTGGATTTGAGATCGGGGTATCATCAGATACGGATGCGTGATGAGGACATTTCTAAGACAGCCTTTCGAACCCATGATAGTCATTTTGAGTTCTTGGTAATGCCGTTTGGACTGACAAACGCACCGGCAACCTTTCAAGCTCTTATGAACGATGTGTTTAGACAGTTTTTGAGAAAATTTGTGCTGGTCTTCTTCGATGATATATTGATTTACAGCACAAGTTTGGCGGCGCATGAGGAGCATCTCAGGCTAGTGTTGGCGATGTTTGTGAAGCACAAGTTGTTTGCCAACAGAAAAAAATGTTCATTTGCTCAGAACAAGGTTGAATATTTGGGTCACGTTATCAGTAACGAAGGCACTGATGATAAGAAGATAGAAGCAGTTCAGAAATGGCCTATACCAAGATCAGTGAAACAGTTATGCGGATTTCTGGGTTTAACAGGTTATTACCGACGCTTTGTTCAACATTATGGATGTATTGCAAAACCGTTGACTGAGTTGCTGAAGAAAGACCGTTTTGAGTGGGGTAATTTGGCACAAGCAGCTTTTGATAAACTGAAAACATCAATGGTCACCGCACCTGTGTTGGCTCTTACGGACTTTAACCAGCTGTTTGTTGTCGAATCGGATGCTTCAGGCTTCGGGTCGGGAGCAGTCTTAATGCAGGGTCATCATCCCATCGCGTTCTTTAGTCATGGTCTGACGCATAGAGAGCAACAGAAACCTATTTATGAGCGGGAATTGGTGGCTATAGTGATGGCAATTCAAAAATGGCGGCATTATTTGTTGGGTAGACGATTTGTGGTTCGAACTGATCAGCAAAGTTTGAGGTATTTGTTGGAACAGAGGGAGATTACGTTGGATTATCAGCGTTGGTTGACAAGGATATTGGGGTATGAATTTGACATTGAGTATAAATTTGGTAGTGAGAACAAAGTGGCGGATGGTTTATCTCGTATTGATCACTCTCTGGATGGCGAAGCAGGATTAATGTTGTTGGCTTTAACCGTGCCAGTTACATTGCAACTACAGGATCTTTACAAAGAAATCAATGAGGATGATGAGATTCAATTGTTAACTACGAAGTTACAAACGGGTCAGGCCTTGAAGTGTGGTTTTGCTATGTCAAATGGGAAGTTGTTTTATAAGATAAGCTGGTTATTCCTTCGAATTCTCGCCACATACCGTTGATTCTAAAGGAGTATCATGATACTTTGATTGGTGGTCACGCAGGAGTTTTACGAACGTTGCAGAGAGTTATGAAGTTGTTTTACTGGCCTAAAATGCGGAAGAGAATCCAGGAGTATGTTGCGGCTTGTTCAGTTTGTCAAACACATAAATACTCGACTTTCTTTCCAGTGGGGTTGTTGCAGCCAATTGAGTTACCGGTGAAGATTTGGGAGGATATAGCGATGGACTTTGTGGAAGGATTGCCAGTTTCTCAAGGTGTGAATGTAATCCTTGTGGTGGTGGATTGTCTCAGCAAATATGGTCATTTTTTGACGTTGAAACACCCTTTCACGGCTGTAGATGTGGCGCAGAAGTTGTTCATGAGGTGGTGAGATTGCATGGGTTTCCCAGATCAATTATCTCGGATAGAGACAAGATCTTCTTAAGCAAATTTTGGAAGGAAAGTTTTCGTTTGTCAGGCACACAACTGCATTTCAGCACAGCTTTCCATCCTCAATCTGATGCTCAGACAGAGGTCTTGAATCGGTGTGTAGAGACATATCTTCGTTGCTTTGCTTCCACTCATCCGAAGAACTGGGCAAAGTACTTGATGTGGGCAAAACTGTGGTATAACACATCCTATCATACAGCATTGAAGTGCACGCCTTTCAAGTTGGTTTATGGTCGTGATCCGCCTTCGTTGATGGCTTATGAAGACGGTGCTACACAGAACTTTGAATTGGATGTGATATTGAAGGAACGGGGGTTGGTTTTGTCGTCGATCAAGTCGAATTTGTTGT